GGGGGGAGAGAAAGATTTAAGATTCAACGCTTCGTACACTAGGAGGGTTTCAACACAAGAAGAATCTAACGTCCATTTCCTTACAACTAACTTTGACCTTTGTACTCTGGAGGGTATTCCATAACCCCCAGGCCGCCCCCCCCCCTCCTGGTTCCACATTCTTCTCCAATACTTAAAACTCTCCATGCTCTGATGGTTAGTTTAGAAGAAAGGAGAGATCGATGATCTTTCCTGACCACGTGGGCGCCAAGGGCTTTTTTGGAGGGAAGGTAGCACCAGATGGGGCCTGGGAGGTATTGGGGGTTTGGAATACCCCCTAGAAGAGAAATCTTTTACGTTCACTTCCCTGCCATTAACATAAGACCTTCGTACACTGGGGGATCTTCTATACCACCCACACCTCCAAAACTTAGAACCCTCCCTGTACTGTTGATTATTTTTTTAGAAAAGAGAGGATCTTTCCTTACGTCAAAAATGGCCACGAGAGCGCGCAGGTTTTTGGGTTTGGAGGACCCTACCCCCTATGAAAGAAGGATTGAATTTCCCTACAACTAACATAAGACCTTCGGAAATATTCCATATCCCCCAGACCTCCAGGTGCTATGTTCGCCTCCATAATTTAGAGCCATTAGAGTGGTTAGTTTGAAAAAGTCAAATTAGTAATGCGGGTTTGGAATTTTGTGTGCAAGAAGAAAGTGCGCAATGCGTGATTTAAGTTTCTCCGCCGGAAAAGAATAAACTTATCGGAAAAATTAGGAGCTGAAACACCTCCTCGCACATTATAATCTCCTGATACCAAATTGGAAAAGATTTAAAACGAAATTTGGCTTCGAAATATTTTTGTGGGTGATGAGAAAAGACCTCCTCGACTATTAAGTTCTCCTGGTAGCCAGAAAAAATTTTACAAGAATTTTCTGACTGGCACTTCGTGTATTAGGAGCTGAAACACCTCCTCGCAAATTATAACCTCCTGATACCAAATTGGAAAAGATTTAAAACGAAATTTGGCTTCGAAATATTTTTGTGGGTGGTGGGAAAAGGCCTCATCGTCTATTATGTTCTCTTGGTAGGCAGACAAAATTTTACAAGAATTTTGTGATTTGCACTTCGTGTATTAGGAGCTGAAACACCTCCTCGCACATTATAACCTCCTGATACCAAATTGGAGAGGATTTAAAACGAAATTTGGCTTCGAAATATTTTTGTGGGTGATGGGAAAAACCTCCTCGACTATTATGTTCTCCTGGTAGCCAGACAAAATTTTACAAGAATTTTCTGATTGGCAATTCGTGTATTGGGCGCTGAAACAACTCCTCGCAGATTATAACCTCCTGACACGAAATTGGAAAAGATTTAAAACTAAATTTGGCTTCGAAATATTTTTGTGGGTGGTGGGAAAAGGCCTCATCGCCTATTATGTTCTGTTGGTAGGCAGACAAAATTTTACAAGAATTTTGTGATTGGCACTTCGTGTATTAGGAGCTGAAACACCTCCTCGCACATTATAACCTCCTGATACCAAATTGGAAAATATTTAAAACGAAATTTGGCTTCGAAATTTTTTTGTGGGTGATTTGAAAAGACCTCCACGAATATTATGTTCCCCTGGTAGCCAGACAAAATTTTACAAAAATGCCCTCATTGGCACTTCATGTATTAGGAGCTGAAACACCTCCTCGCGCATTATAATTTCCTGATACCAAATTGGAAAAGATTTAAAACGAAATTTGGCTTCGAAATATTTTTGTGGGTGGTGGGAAAAGGCCTCATCGCCTATTATGTTCTGTTGGTAGGCAGACAAAATTTTACAAGAATTTTGTGATTGGCACTTCGTGTATTAGGAGCTGAAACACCTCCTCGCACATTATAACCTCCTGGTACCAAATTGGAAAATATTTAAAACGAAATTTGGCTTCGAAATATTTTTGTGGGTGATTTGAAAAGACCTCCACGAATATTATGTTCCCCTGGTAGCCAGACAAAATTTTACAAAAATGCCCTGATTGGCACTTCATGTATTAGGAGCTGAAACACCTCCTCGCTCATTGTAATTTCCTGATACCAAATTGGAAAAGATTTAAAACGAAATTTGGCTTCGAAATATTTTTGTGGGTGATGAGAAAAGACCTCCTCGACTATTAAGTTCTCCTGGTAGCCAGAAAAAATTTTACAAGAATTTTCTGACTGGCACTTCGTGTATTAGGAGCTGAAACACCTCCTCGCACATTATAATCTCCTGATACCAAATTGGAAAAGATTTAAAACGAAATTTGGCTTCGAAATATTTTTGTGGGTGATGGGAAAAGACCTCCTCGACTATTATGTTCTCCTGGTAGCCGGGCAAAATTTTAGAAGAATTTTCTGATTGTCCCCTCGTGCATTAGGAGCTCAAACACCTCCTGGCACATTATAACATCTTGATACCAAATTGGAAAATATTCAAACAAAATTTGGCTTCGTAATAATTTTGTGGGTGATGGGAAAAGACCTCTTCAACTGTTATGTTCTCCTGGTAACCAGACAAAATTTTACAAGAATTTTATGATTTGCACTTCGTGTATTAGAAGCTGAGACACCTCCTCGCACATTATAACCTCCTGATACCCAACTGGAAAAGATTTAAAACGAAATTTGGCTTCGATATATTTTTATGGGTGATGGGAAAAGACCTCCTCGACTATTATGTCTCCTGGTAGCCAGACAAAATTTTACAAGAATTTTCTTATTGTTACTACGTGTATTTGGAGCCGAAATACTTCCTCGCACATTATAACCTCCTGATGCCAAATTGGAAAAGATTTAAAGCGAGATTTGCCTTTTAAATATGTTTGTGGGTGATGGGAAAGGACCTCCTCCACCATTATGTTCTCCTGGTAGCCAGACAAAGTTTTACAAATATTTTCTAATTGGCACTTCGTGTATTTGGAGCTGAAACACCTCCTCGCACATTTTAACCTCCTGATACCAAATTGGAAAAGATTTAAAACGAAATTTGACTTCCAAATATTTTTGTGGGTGATGGGAAAGGACCTCCTCAACTATTATGTTCTCCTGGTAGCCAGCCAAAATTTTAAATGAATTTTCTGATTGGCACTTCGTGTATTAGGAGTGGAAACACCTCCTCGCACATTATAACCTCCTGATACCAAATTGTAAAATATTTAAAACGAAATTTGGTTTCGAAATAGTTTTGTGGGTGATGGGAAAGGACCTCCACAACTATTATGTTCTCCTGGTAGCCAGACAAAATTTTGAATTGAATTTTCTGATTGTCACTTCGTGTATTAGGAGCTGAAACACCTCGCACATTATAACCTCCTGATACAGATTTGGCAATTTTTTAAATCGAAATAAAACTTTGAAATAATTCTCATAGTGATAGAAAAAACCTCTTCGTGCATTATGTTCTCCTAGTGCCCCGACACCTTTTACATAAGTTTGTCGACAAATAACAGGTGTAGTATTAGGAAAAGAAACACCTCCTCGCACATTATATGCTCCTGATACAGAATTAGCAAATTTTTAAATCGTATCTCTCATTGTATTCTAATTAAAGGTCTTAACGAAAGGAACCGTTTTCTACCAACTACTGCTCTTCTTTCTGTCTTATCAAAGTACGGTGAGGTGGGGTTGGGGGGGGGGGGGTGGAACTAGTTTTATCCTTCATGGTACTCTAATGAAAGGTCTCAACGAAAGGAATTAATTTCTACCAACCATAGCCCTCCTCCTCGACCTCTTATCGTGATCGGGTATTTTCCCTTATACCTTCAGAACCGATTGTCGAAAGAGGGTACTTACAAAGGGCGATTGAGACGTCTGCAAGAAATATATCCATTTGTGATGTCAAAACAAAAGCTATTTCTGTTTAAAAAATGCGTTTTATTTGCGCAAGAGTAGTCACATTTTGTACTTGTTTTATCTTCTTGGGGACTCATAAAGATCTAAAAGGCCTTTAAAGACATAGAAAGTCTTTAGAAAGCCTTTTTAAATCCGTAGAGGCTTTGGAAACTGTTAACTGACCTTAAAAGCCCCCAAAGGCACTTATAGACCTTAAAATGCAGCGGAAACTCGTAATGGCCCTAAAGGCTCTTCAAGACCTGAACATTGAACACTGTTAAAAGCAATTAGCCCATTTATCGACCCTTGAGAGATATAAAGCCTGTCGTTAAAGCCAAGTATACGTTAAAAATTATTGGCGACACTTAAAGGCTCAAGACTCTTGAAGGTTCTTATGCGGTTTCAAAGCGTTTAAAGATTCTTAAACATTTTTAAAAATTGACAAAGGCCCATGGTGACCTTTCGAGGCTCTTGGAGACTGATTAAAGGTTCATAAAAGTGTTTAACAATTTTTGAGAACACAAAGCTTATCATAGATTAAAGCTCACAAGCACTATCAAAGGCCCTTAAAGTCTACCAAAGCTTCTAAAGCCCTAAAAGCATTTAGAAGGCTTGGAATACCTTTGAAAGACTACTAAAGGGCTGTGCACACCCTTGGAATAAAAACACGCAATCTAAAGGCTGTCCAGTTTTTTATGGCTAATACACTTTTGAAGACTCTAAGAAACCGTTTCTGAACTTCCTTTCCTACCCTTAATGGCACTCCCAAACAGTTACATTTGGAGTGGTCTGTGGCAGTTCTCCATCCTAATTTAAAAAAAAACTGCTTCATTTTTGGGGAAATCCTAGGATCTTTAATGTGGTGGTTTCCTATTGTCTTCTACATTATATACCGTTGGTTCCTCAGGATTTATACGCGTTTAAGGGCTTTTTCTTACTCCGAGAGTGCTGTACCGGCCACCACCCACTTATCCCCCCCCCTCGCCCCTTCAAAACCTTAGAACAACAGGTGCTTAGGTTCACCTGTGCTCTCTATACACCTAAGTCTTCGGACCAAAAGGACATACACTTACCGCAATTATAACGCACCTGCATTTCCATTAGTCTTTCTTTCAGTAATAGGAAGGGGGCAGTGTAACGGGATTAGCGATTTTTATGCCAAACAATTTCTGCAAACGTTTAATGTTTAAATAAAAGGAAATCGGTACCAATCTGCACACTTCTTTTAGCTAAATCCTTCGCCGGTTAAAGTGGATCCTGAAAGAATTGGCTTAAAGTGCATCGATTGGTTTGCGGTGGTGCCCAAAAAGTTCCTGAAACTGCGAGAGACAGAACTCCCGCCCTTCGACGAAGCGATTCATCTTCAACGTTCTGACTGCATCCACGCCGTCTAACCCAAATTTCCGCTCGAGCTCTGGAGGTATGTCGAATGGTGCCTGCGCGATGGCGAACTCTACAAAGTCGACGCGAGCGTTACCAACCTAATGAGAAGGAGGGGGGGGGGGGTACCTGTCATCGTCTCCATTGGTAGCAGAATCTCTTGATTCTCGATTGTTGAGTAGACATGTTCGAAGCCGACCTTGACCAGAAGCTCCTCGAGGTCCTGCTTTGGAGTCGCCGAATCGTGGTAGTCGTACAAGCTGTCTTTGTAGTCGTGCAGGACCGGCTCCCACTCGGGCGTTCTTAGTAGGTACTCGCAAACGTCGTAGAGATTGTTGTGGGCGTCGTATAGGAAGTACAAGTCTCCCCCAGGTTTGAGGATCTTGAAGATGTTCTTCAAAGCCGTCCTAGAACATGCAAACGTATAAGTTGTCGACACGTGGGAACCTACTCGTGATCCAGGATGTTCTGAAGACAGTAGAACGAGAAGATGTGATCGAAGTAGTTGGCGTACTGGTTGAGGGTTGTGACGTCTTTGACAATGTCAAGATGTTTGAATTCGATCTTGGACTTTTTGCCACCGTACCGTTCGTTGGCGTAGTCCACGAGGTAGGCCCTTTTGTCGATCGCGACGATTGAGTTCGTACACTTGGGTAGAATTGGCAAAATGTAGTCGTAGGTGACATTTCCTGGACCGCATCCAATATCCAAAACGTTGCAATTATCCCTCCAGGTGGCCGTCTCCTGGATGTGCTTGGTAAACTTCTTCGCGCCCGTTTGGGATAATTTGCTCTGCTTCACATACTCGGCTGCCCTATTGATCATGTTAGAAGTACTTCTTCAGTAAACTGAGCGTTAGGTAATTTATGCAATAATGAATCGTAGATATTAATAATGAACTTTGATTTGTAATTACACTTGATTGTAGTTAGAAAAATAATAGTTCACTGGGAAAATCATGCCATTAACGAAAGGTTGAAAGGTCACGTTCCATTTATATTGAGAAGGAAAAATTGCAATCTTCACTTGTGGTACAATAATCGTTAGTTGAGACAATGGTATACGCGTTTCTCCAAGCTGAAAAGAGAAACGAAATCCGAACTGGAACACCTTTATGCACTCTGGCCCTGCCCCACTGTCCACAGCTTAAGCCTTCCTTTACAGTCCCCCATTCTTAAAATCCTTTCCATTCCCTGGAATCTCCTGGCTTGGGGATGTTTGCTATGATATCGTCTATATCTCAAAATTGTCACATTTGTGGAGCACTGATTCTTCTCCTGGGTCTTCCACGTTCCCATCCTATTGATTTGTAAGATTCTTCCCATCTTCAAAATTGCCTACTCTTTTCGGATTCTACCTGAACCACATTAGTTTGGTCTATTAGCCCTCCGGGGTTTTCAGATCCTTCTAATGCCAAAGATCCAGATTTTTCACATTCTCCAAGGTCCTACCATGTTTCATACAGTTCACGATTGTGCGTTTTTTTCGTATGTTAGTTCCGATAGTGGTAATCTGTTTGGCATTCTTTATTTGCTTTGGCAGCACTTATGTTTAAGATCGTTTTATCAAGAACAGATCCTTAGTTGTGTGCGTTGGCACAGGTAAAGCTGGAAATAAAACATATCAAGTCCTAGTACCCATCTCTAAATTTGTCTTTAGAGCGCACTGGACGGCCTGATTTCAAAAACATTGAGCCAATAATTTGAAATCTGAATCTCGAACACTGATCCGTGAAGTTCTAAGCGCTAATTTGATTCCAGAAGCTTGGGATTGCAACCTAAATCGTTAACGATAACCTACAATTTCAAAACTTAGACCCTGAAACCGTACCTTAAGAATTTAATTACCTTTATCTTGTTTTATTGATCATTTATTTATGTATTCACGTGTAATGATACATTTGCAATTCTTCGCCGCATTATGCTGCTTCTTCATCTCGTACGGACTGCAGCTCTTGTGTCTTAGCAATTCGATAAAGCCTCCCCCCCCCCCAGCCATAAAAAGCTATAAAGCATTTAAGAGGCCTTTAGAATGCGTATTTTCATTCCAAGGGTATGCACGGACCTTTAGTAGTCTTTAAATGTCTTAAGAGTCTCTAAAATGATTAAAACTAATACTAGTTTAATTGGTCGGACGAAGTCCAAGCCTTCTAAACGTTTTCAGGGCTTTTAGAAGCTTTGGGAGACTTTAAGGGCCTTTGATAGTACTTATGAGCCTTAATCCATGATAAGCTTTGAGTTCTAAAAAAATGTTGAAAACTTTTATGGACCTTCATCCAAGAGCCTCAAAAGGTCAACAAAGGCTTTTGTATGGTTGAGTCTTTAAGTGTGTAAGTTTTGAACTAGTAGCCCAATATTGGAACTGTTTGAAATTATGGATTCTACAGGCCACATTCTATAAGAAAATTTTTTTTCCGGGTCGATCTGAGACAATTTTTTTTTCGGGGCTCAAAAAAAGGCAGTGTATAACCTTCCTTTTTTACCAAAAATCGACTACACCAAAATTTCTCGAGAAAACACTTTTTCTTATTAATTTTGGTGCGTAGAATCCAAAACAATTCGTACTTTTTCGATCAGACTTCTCAATCAAAAGTTATGGACTAGAAACCAATTTCGAAAGAAAATTCAAAGGGCTGTAACTTTTGAACTAGTAGCCAATCTTGGAACTGTTTGAAATTATGGATTCTACAGGCCACATTCTATAAGAAAATTTTTTTTCCGGGTCGATCTGAGACAATTTTTTTTTCGGGGCTCAAAAAAAGGCAGTGTATAACCTTCCTTTTTTACCAAAAATCGACTACACCAAAATTTCTCGGGAAAACACTTTTTCTTATTAATTTTGGTGCGTAGAATCCAAAACAATTCGTACTTTTTCGATCAGACTTCTCAATCAAAAGTTATAGACTAAAACCAATTTCGAAAGAAAATTCAAAGGGCTGTAACTTTTGAACTAGTAGCCCAATCTTGGAACTGTTTGAAATTATGGATTCTACAGGCCACATTCTATAAGAAAATTTTTTTTCCGGGTCGATCTGAGACAATTTTTTTTTCGGGGCTCAAAAAAAGGCAGTGTATAACCTTCTTTTTTACCAAAAATTGACTGCACCAAAATTTCTCGGGAAAAAAACAAAAATTTTCGGGAGACAAATTTTTTTTCGGGGCTCAAAAAAAGGCATTGTAAGTAAACCTTCCTTTTTTACCAAAATCGACTGCACCAAAATTTCTCGGGAAAACACTTTTTCTTATTAATTTTGGTGCGTAGAATCCAAAACAATTCGTACTTTCTCGATCGGACTTCTCAATCAAAAGTTATGGACTAGAAACCAATTTCGAAAGAAAATTCAAAGGGCTGTAACTTTTGAACTAGTAGCCCAATCTTCGAACTGTTTGAAGTTATGGATTCTACAGGCCACATTCTATAAGAAAATTTTTTTTTCCGGGGCTCAGCAATCCCACAAAAAATCAGAACTACCGGATTTGACGCATGGTCTGATGTATATAGTTACTGGACTATTGCGATTCTACGACTTTTATTTTCTCTCAATCAATAACTTTGAGAATTTGTTTATATTTTCACGACAAGAAGTTCATTAACACGTCCAAGGCTGGAAGAGCGCAAGGCAATTACCATACTAATTTGTCTTCGACTTAAAGATCAAAATCGCCCCCCGAGAACTTGTTTCCAGTCGTGTAGTACCATTAAAAACTTGTCTGTGAAGAATTTATTACGTTATTGGTACCTCATATACAGTACGATTACCGTTTAGAGCAACCTTCGACAAGGCAACGCGTTTTGAACGAAATTTACGATTATCTTCTGGGACTCGTTCGCGTCTCGTGGTGAATTTTTTGAAAATCTCCCCAGTGGCAGCGGGGCGGTTTTAACGCGAAGAATAGCCAGTTTGGGGACAGTCTGTAGATGTGAACAAATACATTAGGATCCACTTTGCGTGCCATGTTAAGTAGGTACGAATGTCTGCTAGTGCACTTTTTTTAACGAGCGAGTCCAGCGGAGTTTGTCGCTTGAGGTGATTAAAATCAAGTTAATAAAATGAGGTTATTAATTATTGTGAACGTTAATTTTGTGCTTCTGCTTCTCGGCATTAACGAGGTATGTTAATTTCGTGCATGTAAGGCTATAAATTTTAAATTTGGGGACGCGAACGTGCCGCGCATTTTTAGGCTTTGAAATCGTACGAATTTGGGATTGACGAACCCATTGTTCTAACATTTTCAGATACTTAAAATATTTGACCGTTCACGAAAAAATACAGGGTGTCTCCTGAGCAAGTGAACGCTATTTTATTCGAACACTCTGTGTTTTGTTTGAAAAAAGCTAACCGTATAATCTTCTTCCATCCTTTTGAATTTTTCGGTTCTTTCATCATTTCTATTCCACGGATCTTTCGAATATTATTTTTGAAGTTCATCAAGAGACTAAAGTTGGAGGGTTAAGGGACTCGTCAACTTATTCTTTAAAATATCTCATCACACAAACCCTTCAAGAGAATCTTCTTCAAGAAACCTCGAAAAATTACTAGAAGAAGAGGGCCATATCGTAAAGTATTTTGCACTATCTGTTTGTATTATGCTATCGTCCCTCTGTTTTCTCTTACTGTTAGAAGCCCTCTCAAGGTTTGGGGTACCCTCGTTTCTCTCGATTCTTCTTTTTCCTAGGATAATTTTTCAATTCCTCCGAGTCTTAGGGTATACTTGTCCCGATCTTTCTCATTCTTCCACTTTTTTTACTCTTCGTTTTGAACTTCTCTAATTTTTCTCGGATTTCTTCCATGCTTTTGAATTACTTCCTCGTGCCTACTTCTTCATAGGATTTTACCTAGGTATGCTTTGTATTTTTTTAGTTCTTCGTATTCTTCTCTTTCTTCCGATTTGCGAGCTCTTTATATCTTTAGAACCCCTCCTACCTCTCCCACCGTTGCTCTACTTCCGATTCTACGGATCTTCATCCCTTGGATGCTTCCCATTCGAGGGATTCTTCTGGTGTAAATATTTTCGATTAAGTGCTTCTGCGAATCGCACTCCTATAGGTTTTTCTAGGATACTAGGATTGTTCAATGTTTTGTTATAAGGAGACATCCCTTCCTTACTTATTTTTTGGGTTCTTGGCTAAGGGTACTCTCCCAGATCCCCGGTTCTACGTTTTTCATTTCTCACAAGAGTGATCAGACTCCCATTATTAATTTATAGGACAGATAAATTTATTTTCCTGTAGTTTGGTTACAGTAATTTCTTTTTTAGAAGAACCTAGCACCGAGGGTTCAGGGGGGATATGAAAAACCCCCTACTATAAGTCGATTTGATTACCTTTCCCCAAAATTTAACATGGGATTGTTGGAAGTAAAAAAAGAAACAATTTTAGAACGCTCTTTTGCTAAGGGTACACACACAGTTTGCTGGGCGGTATGGAATACCCCCCAGACCCCCCGGTACTATTTTTCCCATAAAAGGACTTTGATCCGCATGATCAGGTTTTTTTTAAAGCACACAGAAACCTTTTTTCCTGTGGAGTTGCAAACACTTTGTGGTAGAAGAACGTAACACCAGGGGGGGAGGGGGCACCGAATTACGAAGATTTGCTAACCGTTTCTCAAAATCTAAGATTAGTTTGATGGGAATAAGAAAGAAAGAATTATCGAGTCCTCTTTTGATGAGCGGTACATACATACCTTTCAGCCCCGTGATGGGAAAAGACGACCTCCTCAACCATCATGTTCTCCTGGTAGCTGGAAAAATTTTTACAAGAATTTTCTGATTGGCACATCGTGTATTAGGAGCCGAAACACCTCCTCGAACATTATAACCTCCTGATACCAAACTTGTAAATATTTAAAACGAAATTTGACTTTGAAAGATGTTTCTTGGTGATGGGAAAAGACCCCCTCAACCGTCATGTTCTCCTGGTAGCCAGACAAAATTTGACAAGAATTTTCTGACGCAGTTCGTGTATTAGGAGCTGAAACACCTCCTCGTACATTATCACTTCCTGATACCAAATTTGCAAACATTTAAAAGGAAATTTGGCTTTGAAAGATGTTTATGGGTGATGGGAAAGGACCTCCTCAACCATCATGTTCTCGGGGTACCGGACAAAATTTTACAAGAATCTCCTAATTGGCACTTCACCTACTAGGAGCAGAAACACCTCCTCGCACATTATAACATCCTGATAGCAAATTTGTAAAAATTTAAAACGAAATTTGGCTGTGAAATATGTTTGTGGAATATGGGAAAAGACCTCCTCAACCATCATGTTCCCCTGGTAGCGACACAAAATTTTATAAGAATTTTCTCCTCGCATATTATAACTTCCTGACACCAAATTTGTAAAGATTTAAAACTAAATTTGGATTTGAAATACGTTTGTGGGTGATGAGAACACAGACCTCCTTAACCGCCATGTTCTCCTGGTTGCTGGACAAAATTTTACAAAAATTTTGTGATTAGCACTTCATGTATAAGGAGCTGAATCACCTCCTCTCACATTATAACCTCCTCATACCAAATTTGTAAAGATTTAAACCGAAATTTGACTTTGAAATACGTTTGTGGGTGATGGGAAAATACCTCTTTAACCATAATGTTCTCCTGGCAGCTAGACAAAGTTTTACAAGAATTTTCAGATTGGAACTTCGTGTATTAGGAGCAGAAACACCTCCTCGCACATTATAACATTTTGATATCAGATTTGTAAAGATTTAAAACGAAATTTGGGTTTGAAATATTTTTGTGGGTGAAGGGAAAAGACCTCCTCAACCATCATATTCTTCTAATAGCCGGACGACATTTTATAAGAATTTGTTCCTTGAAGATTTAAAACTTAAAAATGTAAGAATTAAATCCCCCCCCCCCCTTCTAGGGCTTTCCACAAAAGTGCTCACATGATTCACATTCTTAGAACACTTTCCTTCCTACTTTGGAAGCTCCTGGTTTTGAGTGTTTTGCAAAATGATACTCTTCCTATGATCCTCCCTATCCGGAAATCAAGGATACCATGATTAAGATTCTTCTCCCTCACCCTCACGAGAACCTTCATACATGATACTTTTATGGTCCTTTGGAATCTCCTCAAATTTTCTTAGTTTTGGGGTTGCTCCCATAATTTGGATTCAACTTTAGGGTTAGGTTTTTGCGTTTTCTAGATCCCCCTCAACTCCTCAACCGTCATGTTCTCCTGGTAGCTGGACAAAATTTTACAAGAAAGTTCTGTTTGTCACTTTATCTACTAGGAACAGAAACACCTCCTCGCACATTATAACATCCTGATACCAAATTTGTATAGATTTAAAACGAAATTTGGCTTTGAAATACGTTTGTGGGTGACGGGAAAAGACCTCCTCAACCATGATGTTCTCTTGGTAGCTGGAAAAAATTTTACAAAAAGTTTCTAATTGGCACTTCGTGTATTAGGAGCCGAAACACCTCCTCGAACATTATAATCTCCTGATACCAAATTTGTAAAAATTTAAAACGAAATTTGGCTTTGAAATACGTTTGTGGGTAATGGGAATTGACCTACTAAACCATCACGTTTTCCTGGTAGCCAGACAAAATTTTACAAGAAGTTTCTGACTTGCAGTTCGTGTATTAGGAGCTGAAACACCTTCACGCACGTAATAATCTCCTGATACCAAATTTGTAAGGATTTAAAATGAAATTTGACTTTGAAATACGTTTGTGGGTTATGGGAAAAGACCTATTTAATCATCATATTCTCCTGGTAGCTAGACAAAATTTTACAAGAATTTTCTGATTGGCACATCGTCTGTTAGGAGCTGAAACACCTCCTCGAACAGTATACTTTCCTTATCCGAAATTTGGATTTGAAATATATTTGTGGGTGATCGGAAAAGACCTCCCCAAGCATCATGTTCTCCTGCTAGCCGAACAAAATTTTACAAGAATTTTCTGATTGGGACTTCGTAGGAGCTGAAACACCTCCTCGCACATTATAACGTCCTGATAACAAATTTGTAAAGATTTGAAACTAAATTGGGCTTTGAAATATGTTTGTCGGGTACGGGAAAAGACCTCCTCAACCATCATGTTCTCCTGGTAGCCAGACAAAATTTTACAAGAATTTTCTGACTTGCAGTTCGTGTATTAGGAGCTGAAACAACTCCTCGCACATTATAATCTTCTGATACCAAATTTTTAAATATTTAAAACGAAATTTGGGTTTACAATACGTTTGTGGGTGATGGGAAAAGACCTCCTTAACCATCATGTTCTCCTGGTAGCCAGACAAAATGTTACAAGAATTTTCTGTCTTGCAGTTCGTGTATTAGGAGCTGAAACAACTCCTCGCACATTATAATCTCCTGATACCAAATTTGTAAAAATTTAAAACGAAATTTAACTTTGATATACGTTTGTGGGTGATGGCAAAAGACCTCCTCAACCATCATGTTCTCCTGGTAGCTGGACAAAATTTTACACGAATTTTCTGATTGGCACTTCGTGTATTAGGTGCCGAAACACCTCCTCGCACATTATTACACATTATTGTAAAGATTTAAAACGAAATTTAGCTTTGAAATACGTTTGTGGGTGATAGGGACAGACCTCCTCAACCATGATGTTCCCCTGTTAGCTGGAAAAAATTTTACAAGAATTTTTTGATTAGTAGTTCGTGTATTAGGAGCCGAAATACCTCCTCGAACATTATAACCACCTGAAACCAAATTTGTACAGATTTAAAACTAAATTTGACTTTGACATTTGTTTGTGGGTGATGGGATAATACCTCCTCCTCTTCTGGTAGCCGGACAAAATTTTAGAAGAATTTTCTGATTTGAACCTCGTATATTAGGAGCTGAACCACTTTCACGCAAATAATAATCTCCTGATACCAAATTTGTAAAAATTTAAAACGAAATTTGGCTTTGAAATATATTTGTGGGTGATGGGAAAAGACCTCTCCAACCATGTTCTCCTGGTAGCCGGACAAAATTTTACAAGAATTTTTTGATTGGCACTTCATCTACTAGAAGCAGAAACACCTCTACGCACATTATAACGTCCTGATACAAAATTGGAAAAGGTTTAAAACGAAATTTTGCTCTCGAAATATTTTTGTGGGCGATGGGAACAGATCTCCTCAACCATGATGTTCTCCTGGTAGCTGGAAAAAATTTTACAAGAAGTTTCTGATTGGCACTTCGTGTGTTAGGAGCCGAAACACTTCCTCGAATATTATAATCTCCTGACACCAATTTTGTAAAGATTTAAACCGAAAATCCGCTTTGAAATACGTTTATGGGTGACGGGAAAGGGCCTCCTTAACCACCATGTTCTTCCAGCAGCTAGACAACATTTTACAAGAATTTTCTCACTTGCAGATCGTGTATTAGAAGCTGAAACACATCCTCGCACATTATAATTTCCTGATACCAAATTTGTAGATATTGAAAACGAAATTTGGTTTTGTAATACGTTTGTGGGTGATGGGAAAAGACCTCCCCAACCATCACATTCTTCTGGTAGCCGGACAAAATTTTACAAGAATTTTCTGATTGGCACTTCATCTACAAGGAGCTGAAACATCTCCTCGCACATTATAACCTCCTGATACCAAATTTGTAAAGATTTAAAACTAAATTTGGCTTTGAAATATGTTTGTGGGCGATCAAAAAAGACCTCCTTAACCATCATGTTCTCCTGGTAGCCAGACAAAATTTGATAAGAATTTTGTCCTCGCATAGGTATTATAACCTCCTGATACCAAATTTGTAAAGATTTAAAATGAAATTTGGCTTTGTAATACGTTTGTGGGTAATGGGAAAAAACCTCCTCAACCATCATGTTCTCCTGGTAGCCGGGCAACATTTTAGAAGAATTTTCTTATTGGCACTTCATCTACTAGGAGCAGAAACACCTCCTCGCACATTATAACCTCCTGATACTAAGTTTGTAAAGAGTTAAAACGAAATATGTTTGTGGGTGATGGGATAAGACTTCCTAAACCATCATATTCTTCTGGTAGCCGGACAAAATTTTACAAAAATTTTCTGATTGGCACTTCGTGTTTTAGGAGCTGAAACACCTTCACGCATATAATAATCTCCTGATACCACATTTGTAAAAATTTAAAACGAAATTTGACTTTTAAATATTCTGTGGGTGATGGGAAAAGACCTCCTTAACCATCATATTCTCCTGGTAGCCAGAAAAAATTTTACAAGAATTTTTTGACTTGCAGTTCGTGTATTAGGAGTTAAAAACACCTCCTTGCACATGATAATCTCCTGATACCAAATTTGTAAAGATGTGAACCCCCTCCACCCCTCTCCCGCACTTGGTCATTCCACACAAGTGCTCAGATGACTCACATTCTTAGAACACTTTCTCTCATACTTTGGAAGCTTCTGGTTTTGCCACGAGTTTTGCAAACTGTTACTCTTCCTATGATCCTCCCTATCCGGGAATCAAGGATACTATGATTAAGATCCTTCTTCCTCACGAGAACCTTCGTGTCTGATATTTTTATGGTTCTTTGGTATCCCCTCAAATTTTCCTATTTTTGGGGTTGCTCCCATTCAGCTTTAGGGTTAGGGTTTTTGAGTTTTCTAGATCCCCCTCCCCCAAACTATATCGACACGAATTTTCTAGACTGTTAATGCGTTTTTTGTTGTTTAAGGAATGCGCATCGCAACTGATCGTCTCCAGAGGGACGGCGGAAGTCGAGAGGCCTCTGCTACTGAACTCCTATCTACCTGCAAGTATGCAAATCATCGCGTACTTAACCGACCTCATGAAGTACGAGACGAAACCGTCGGATGGGGTGACGACGACGACTACTGTCCGTCCGACGCCGTTCCACAAGCCCGGCCTGTATTCTCCCCAAAATCCCATCGCCCACTACGTGAGGTCATCCTACGGCGATCATCCGCAACGGCCTCTGTCTTATTTCGATCGCTACGGTTACTTCTCACCACGTATTGATGATGACGACGACGGCCTGAATACGAGATTGGACGCAGGACGTGTCCTGACTGTTAACAATTTACCTAGAGACCTCGATTTATTGGGCTCGGCACCGGCGAGCGTACTAAAGCTCATCAATCAAATCGACGAGTACGACTCCCTCGAAGACGACGACGACAAGCTGAGGAGGTTTACCGAAAATTACGACGACGCTCACCTGCGGCAGTTTGTGGTCGGGAACAAGCGACCTCCCCCGGTCCAGGCGTACGTCACCCTACTTCAGCTCTACGACTCCCTGAACCAAGAGTCGAAAAGGTTGCAGTTAAACAAATACGGGGTAAGTACCGTCATCTGCTGGCTTGGGCTTCGTAATCTTCGCCCTTTGTAGGGTTACACCTCGGATGTTCTGCAGATTTTGGTGGAGATCTCGCAAGGCACGTCTGCAGAGCAGTTGCAGGAAGTGCTGAAGAGATTGGCGGCTCAGAGGAACACGCGCGATCCGAAGACGACGACGAAAATTAATAACCTGCTCAAGGATCTTGATACTCCAAACAGCTACATTCACGCGGCCCTCCAGTATATACCACCCCTTAATTTTATTTTGTAGGTTAGGCGTAGACAGCAGGTTGTGAATTATCATTTTTAATCCTATTAGATTGATAAGTTTGCTTTATTTATTCCTTTCGCTGAACACTTCGTTATCGAGTTCTCCTCCTCAGACCCCTCCAGGACTTAGTGGGTCCGTGCTCTAATGACTATTTTAGAAAAAGGAGAGATCGAAACATCCGAATTAATCCCAATCCAAAAATAAATTCCACAGAACAGAAGGAAGAGGTGGGTCTAACTTTAGAAATCTTACTGACTAGCTTCTCCTAATCAAGTTAGCCAACTGAGCTGGAAATTGTAACCCAATAGTACTAATTAAGAAGATGAAATATTATATAAATCCCAGATATCTCGGCTCGAGAAGTTTCCAAAACCCATTGAGAAACAATGTTCCTTAGAAATTAAACGACTCAGAAAGACACACCGCTTTTGCACCGCGGTTGACAAATTTATCCTTTGAATTTCCACCAAGAATACCATTTATTTGGAAAACCAATTCAAATTTCTATGTCATGCAAAGGCAATGCACTTGGAAGTCCCAGAGCAGCGCTGGCAGTCTAAAAAAGGTGAGGCAGGAACCAGGGGACTCTACGCAATCCGACCTACCTCCCGCTGAAGTAGGGTAACCTGGGAGGTCTAAGCCACCAGCAAACGCACTTACCAAGGTTAAACTGAAGACTGGGACGCAAAAACGAAGCACTCCCGAAAAGCTTAAAACTAGGACCCCAAAAGATACCAGAACCTTTAGCTGCAGAATGACTTTTGATCATGAAGATCCAGAGGGAACGTTGTGGGCAGAGAATACGGGGCGAATAAACGCCTGCATTTCTCGTGAGAGTCGACGCTTTACCCATTGGGGCGGTTTCTCCCAAATTCGTGGAGTGTCGTCACCGAGGGGGGGGGGGGGCTGTTGATCATAGGTATGCGCTGACCAGGTATCGGTGGATTGGTGAAGGTCGGAGTCAGCGAGAGTAACTCCGTGGAAGGGGAGTTTCGTCCAAGTGGAGAACTTCCAAAGACCAGTAAAAGATCTCCGGGGCTCCCGGAAAACATCTAGAAAGTGGTCGAAATCCAAAACGCTGAAGACAAACTCAAAGGAAAAGGTGGGGGCCATTTCCAACCATCGACCCTACGTGAACTTCACCAGGGTGACGTTCAAACCCCTCTCTGAAACGAAATTGGAGGACAAGTACCTACCTACTACAGTACCTAGAGGGTTACATATCCAAGACAGCAGCATACGAAGCAGGTTTCATGAAGATCAACGGATTCACGACCAGGAGGATTCTAGACGAACACGAACAGCCTTTTCAACCGGTCCAACAGGTTCCTGAAGCGGTACAACATATTTTAAAACCGGTACTAGTCCACGTGGCTGTTGAACCGGGTGGAAAAGCCGTTGGACCGCTTTACGAACCGGAAAGAGCGTGCTCGTCTCTGATTCGTTGTGACGTCACGACCTCGTTTCTGATTGCTGTGACGTCACTTCCTGGTCCAGAAGATACATTGGTCATCTACTTTCATAAGAGGGGAAAAAAATACCGGACAGCTTGAAAATGCTGCTATACACCACGATCATAGCTCCGACGATCTTATACGGAGGGCGGAACGAAAGAAGGCACTAATTATACTGGTGGAAAACCGCAACCTCGCAAGGAAGCAGATAGGGGAATTACTAGAAGGGAAGACGGTCATCAGGAGACTGAAGATGAGGCAGCTGAGATACCAGGAGGAACAAAGATCATGTACTGCCGATGGCTAAGAATCTACGCGTCTCGGGTTGGAAAGTAGACAGGCCCCTGCTTCACAGGGAACACCACTATACAGGGTGTTTTTTTGGAAGCTTTAGTTAAACTTTTCTGGGAAAGTGAAATAGGTATGTTTTTGAAACTTAAGAGATACTCTGAAGGCCGAATCGATGTAAAAGATTTTCAAAATGGTCGCAGTTCCGGAAATACCGGAAGTAGATAGTAACTTCGTTATTTTAAATGACAACCCCAAGTTTTTAGTGCAGTTTTTAAAGGATTAAAAAAATGCGCTATTCTCGATTTTAGCTACTTCTAGGGGAATGATCCTACAGTCCTGGAATTTTTTGCAGTAGGTAGCCTATACCTTGAAGGTGTGCCAGACGGCTATCAAATTTCGCTCTCTTAAAGAGTGGGGGGGGGGGCATAAATTATTTCCTGAGATGCTGTTTTCAAAAGTAAAACGTACATAACTGTTACATACGACAACTAATTGGTCTCAGAGTTTGCATACGCATGCCTGTAATGGTGCCAAGTTAAACGTTTGAAAATGGAGGGGGGGGGGACACATGTTTTACCCTTCATGGTATTCTAATGAAAGGTCTCATTGAAATAAATTGGTTTGAACAAATTATAACTTTCCCACGCGACTCTTTCTTGAGATCAGTGGGTGATGGGGCCGGGGGGGGGGGGGTTAGAAATTAAATTTATCCTTCATGGTATTCCCTGTGTGGCATTCTAATTAACGGTCTCAACGAAACGAAAAGAGCCGTTTTCTATACCAACTACTATTGACTTTCTGACCCATTATCAAAAGAGGAGGTCCTTCATGGTACTCTAATGAAAGGTCTCTCATTTCTACCAACCATACTCCTCCTCCTTGGCCATAAGTGGTAGATATCGACATGTTGGTATCAAAAGAACTGAAACTTCACGTAGAATTCAAAAACTCAATAAAAAGTAGGGGTTGCCATTTAAAATAAAAAATATTTTACATCGATTCGGCCTTCAGAGTACAAATTTTCAAAAACCTACCTATTTCACTTTCCCAGAAACGTTTAACTAAAGCTCCTAGAAAAACACCCTGTAGACCAAACGGTGGCGGCTTCGGGGATTCCCATAGAAAGAGGGGAAGAGCGGAGCGACAAACACAAAATGAAGAAAGAAAGCAGAAATGACAATCAAACCACTGTATACTGCGGGATACTCCGTATCTCCCAGACCCCCCGGTAACACTTTCCTTCTCAAACGTTTAACTGTCAGAGGTCAGGACTCATAATTTTTTGGAAAATTATTTGACCCTCCTCCGCAAAGAAGTATTGCATAAGGGGGGAGGGTGTCTGGGGGGAGGGGGTATGGAATACCCCCAGCAGAGATCCCTCGGCAAGGGACGACCCGATAAGACCCTTCCTCCCTGTAACTCTCAATACTGTCATGGGTAGTGAAGTTGAGAATTGAACAACTGTATACTGGGGAGTGGGGGGGGGACACTTTCCCCTAAAATAGTTTACCCGTCCGGAGTCGGGATTCTTGTAATTTTTTGAAAAATTATTGGATCTTCTTCTGGCAAAAAGGTATTGCATAAAACACAGTACCGCGGGGCCTGGGGCGGGGGGGCACCACAGAGAGCCCTAGGCTATAGACTCCTCGATAAATCCTCGGTGCTGGCGAGGGTTGCGGAATTGACAATGGCATCACAGTACACTGAGGGGTATAGCATACTCCCCCCAGATCCTCCTGTACCACTTTTTCCTACAACACGTTTAGCCCCCAGGACTCTCATTATAACTTATTAAAAAATTTGGGGGGGGGGGGCTGGAGTGTTAAGGGAGAGCCCTCAGCAAAGGACGGCAAAATAAATCCTTTCCCTCCAACTTTTGGCACTTTCAAGAGGGTCGGAAATGACAATTGTGGCACTGTATGGGGGGGGGGGTATTCCATAACCTCCAGATCACCCGGTACCGCTTTTCCAGACAAAACGTTTAGCGTTCAGGACTCTCATAATAGTTTTCTGAAACATTATAGGCTCCCCTTCTGCTTCTTTGCACAAAGCAGAGTACTGGTGGGTCGGGGGGTGGGAAGCCTCGGCAAAAGGAGAGTCCATAAATCTTTCCCCTCCAACCGTAAGTCCTCTCATGGGTTCTGGAAATGGGAATGGAACCGTTGTATAATGCGGGGTATTCCATATCTCCCAGAATCCCGGTAAGACTTTTTCCCTCGAAACGCCCTCAGGGGCCAGGTTTCTCATAATTTGTTGGAAATTTATCTTCTGCAAGAACTATTGCATGGAAGACAGTACCGTGGGGTCTGTTCCCCCAGCAGAAAGAGCAATCGGATAGAGACGCCTCGATAAACCCTTTCCCTCAGGACTTTCATTATAGCTTTTTAAATAATTGTCATATCCTCTTCTGCAAAAAATTTTTCCGTTGAACAAAGTACCGAGGGGTGCCTCGGGTGTGTGGAATATCCGACAGCAGGGAGAGCCCTCGGCAAAGGACGATGCAATAAATTCTTTCCCTCCAACTTTTGGTACTTTCATGGGGCCTGGAAATGATCATTAAAGCACTTCAGGGATTTTCTAAGGTCAAGTATTTTTAAGGTCTTTAACGTAAAGGTCTTCAAAGTTTTCGAGATTTTCACAAACCTTAAGGGCCTCTGGGAGCCTTAAAGCCTTTGTGTCTCCGAAAGCCTTTTAATAGTCCTTTAAGGCTCGTTTCTTGAGGATTTTGGAAATTCCTGAGACTTCTAAAGATCCTTGAAGGCTCGTTTTTTAGACTTTAGACAGGACCCTGTAAAAATATACGTCTTTAAAAGGCTCTAGAGGCTTTTGGAAATTCTTGTAAACTTTTAAAGACATTTGAAAGCACCTAATGGCACCTGGTGCCTCCTAAAGATTTCTAAAGCTTATTCTAGGCTCGTTTCTTAGTTTTTAGATATGACCTTGAAAAATGCACATGCTTTAAAAAGGCTTTAGAGAGTTATTCAGAGGCTTTTAGAAATTCCTGTAAACTTTTGAAAGGGGTTGAAAGCACCTAATGACAGTTGGTGGCTCCTAATCACTTCCAAAGGACCGGACCGGGCACATTCTTTTAAAAGCCTTTAAAAAGTTGCTTAAAGTCTATTGGAAATTCTTGTAAACCTTTGAAGGTATCTTGTGGCATTTAGTGGTTCCTAAAGACTTTTAAAGGTTCTTCAAGGTCCGATTCTTGGATTCTAGCCAGGCATTTAAAGATGTAGGTAAATGTCTTTTGAAGCCTGGAAAGTTACTTAACGGCTTTTGGAAAATCTTTGAAAGCACCTAATGGGGAAGAGCGGAGCGACAAACACAAAATGAAGAAAGAAAGCAGAAGAGTACTGGAGATTGAGGAAGAATCAGACATAAGCATCAACAGCGAAGAGGAGGAGGAGGAGACAGAAAGAGAGGCCAACAATAAGAAAGCGGAGAAACAAGAAGGAAAGAAACGAGACCAAAGGATGGAGGCATCGGAAACTAATGGAACCCCCGGGGGAGGGGCCAACACCAGGAGCCAGAGTTCCCTCTAATGCAGATATTCCAATGGCAAGAGAGTTATTGCTGAGCTATTTTAATCAAAACTGGATGTTGGATGACAAACTATTCCTATTGTCGTTTCTAATTAATGCTAAATGTTTTGGGTGGAACAGGGAATTGGGAGACAGAAAACTTCCAGCTGAAAACTATACTCTCGCAATCGAGACCGGAACAGGAACTGAAAGTGACATTAGGTTTAGAAAAATAGAGTGGAAAACATAAAGCCATCATAGATTGAATGACCCTAAACAATATTTATGAAGTGAAATTATACAACCCCTTCATTGACCCCAATAAATCTTAATTTTCAGACTTCCCCATTGCGAACGCTCCCAGTCAGACATCAAACTGCGCAAGTTGGCCTATTTACCTTTCCGGCGCCAAGTCTCCCTCTTTCGAATTGTTCCCCAAAAGCTACGATTTTTACGTAACGATGCCGCGGCTGGTCGTTGAACTGACACGCTTTGCTGAAAAATACTAGCCCGCCGAAAAACGTCACGCAAATTTTAGTTACGTACTTACACGGAGGCCGAGGCGTGCGGTTAAATAGTGATATTGCTATCAATCGGTTTAACGTAAAACTAGAATTTTTACCATTTCGGTCTCGTTAATTTTGTTGATTTGTGATTGTGAGTGACCGCTTTTAATTTTCTGGATAGTTCTTTGTCGACTTCTGGTAGGGAATTTTGAATTATCGGCATCTGCAAACGGTACGTTATTTACACATTGCCATTACAAAACTTTGGTCGTTGGGAGGGGGGACCTCTAATTAAACTGTACTTAAATCCTAATCGTAAGTATAATCAAAAGTGGGCGGTTGCTGTAGCACAACCTAAAAAGGTTTTTTTTAAATTATTTAATTGTCTAAAGAATTACAAATTTAAATGAATTTTAGAACATGTGGAAAATATCTTGAAGTGCACAAATTAAAGAAAGTAGAAAAATTAAAAACAAATTGTATTGGTTTAAATACATTCCAAAATGAGGAATTTGTTTCATAAACAAATGGATGAAAAATGATACGAAAATCACTTTGACATGATTAATGAGTCAAAAATATCGGTATAATTGATTGCATTTACATTTGAATGAAGTAGGCGTCAATTAGTTTAATATTCAATTTAGTAAATAAATTAATTGTAAGTGTAATTTTAGACGATCATCTAGGTATATCTCCAGAAAGCGGAACGATACAAAGGGGATCTCGGCAGCTGCACCACCTGGCCTCTGACGACCCTTCTGACACGTATCCCTTTAATCATTTTTTGAAAAAAACAGCTGTTAAACATTCACGATTCAGATTAACACTAGGGGCGCTGATGTAGGTAATCTACAAATGGCGTGTATTGGTGTATTGTACTAATTTGAAAGTGAATTGAATGTGTGCTGCCGTTTTTGAAACCTGAAAATAGAACCCCTTAGTCCTATCCGCAATCAACGTATTTCAATTCAATTCAATTTCTAGCGCACGCCTACAACCTTAGAACAACTCGCCGACATTCCCTTACGTGGATTATACCTCACTATTCGTAGCACAATTTTTCGATGTGTCGTGGTTTAATAAATAATGACGATTTAAATTGTTCTATTTGTGTATGGAATCTCCCCCCCCCCCTCGCGTTAAAAGGAAAATTTAATGACGCTTTATCTTCAATCGCCATTATCTCCATGAGATCATTCGTATACTCATACAAATAAACTCTTCGTATACTGGGGACCCCTCGGTGCTACGTTCTTCTCCAAAATGTTTAGTGTCTTTGGCACCTCAATACCTTAATTTTTCAAGAGTTTTTAGGGATGAACGTCCGGTTGAACGTTTTGAGGGTGAACATGCCACTGGGAGTCTGAGTATGGAATACCCCCCCCCCTCATATGAAGAATTTCTTCATTGACTGGGAGTATAAGACCCCGAGCCCCCCCCGGTGCTACTTTCATCCCCAAAATGTTTAGTATCTTTAACAGTTACACCTCGAGTTACACCTTAATTTTTCAAGCGTTTTTAAGGCTGAATGTTTTGAGGGTGAACGTATCACCGGGGGGTTAGGAGTACGGAATAGCCCCCAGTATACTATATACAGTGGTTCGACTGTCATTTCCAGAAAACCCCCGTGATAGTACTGATGGTTAGAGAGTTGAGTCCTTCTTCGTTAGATGGTTTTCAATCCTCTCCGACTTTCTAAATTCCACACCCCAGACCCCCCGGTGCTATGTTCTATGGAATACTATTCTGCAGAGGAGGATCTGATTATTTTCATAAAAACGATCATGGAAGTATTGAGAGATAAACGGTTTGTGGAGGAAAGCGTTATTGGATGGTATGGGAGATATGGAATCCCCCCCCCCCTCAGTATACTATATACAGTGGTCCGATTTTCATTTCACAAAAACCCCCATGATAGTACTGAGGGTCAGAGCGCCGATTCTTTCTTCGTTGGGTATTTTTCAATCCTCCCCGCGTTTCTAAGTTCTTCCTTTGCTGGGGGCCCCAGACCCTCCGGTGCTATGTTCTATGGCATACTATTTTACACAAAAGGATATGATCATGTTTCCAAAAACCCCCAGTAAAATGGAAAAGTTAATGACCCATTCCCTACAATTAATTATCTCAATGAGATCATTCGTATTCTCATATAAATAAACTCTTCGCGTATTGGGGGGTATTCCAAACCCCCCAAACCCCCAGTGCTACGTTCTTCTCCAAAATGTTTAGTATCCTTATGACTTACATCTTCATTTTTCAAAAGAGTTTTTGGGACTAAACGTTTTGAGGGAGAACGTACTACCCGAGGGTAAAAAGGAGTGAAAAGAAAAATTTAATGGGGGAGGGGGGTCTGGGAGGTATGGAGTAACCCCCCAGTAAAAGTAAACATTTAATTACCCCTTCCCTACACTCACCATTATCTCCTTGAAATAATTCGTATGCTCATATAAATAAACTCGAACACTGGGGGGTAATGTATGCAACTGGGGGGTCACGATCAGATCGTGATTTCAGAACCCATTCCTTTTCCCTCTACCATCATTATCTCCATTCGTATACTCGTGTAAATAAACTATTTGTATAGGGGGGGGGGGGGGTTCCTTGAGGAATGTTAAGGCTACTTACCCTTGGAGACTGTTTACATCGATCATAGGCGTTTAATAAGGCTCAGAAAAGCCTTTCAATGAGACCCTAAAAGCCTTTAGAAGACTTTTGTAGACTATTAAAAGAATCTATCTATCTATGTTTCTCGAACAATTTAGAGACCCTTAGATCAACCATTAAAACTCCAAATAAATATATTTATAAAAACTATTAAAACCCTTTTAAACCATTGAGGCTGCGCCCTTAAAAACGCTTGAATTAAAGAGTTTATTACGCGTTCTAAAGGTGTTCTTAAATATTAGGTTCAAGAAGATTACAAAAGGCGCTTGAACGCTTTTCAGGTTTGTTTTTTAAAGAATTTTAAAGTTCGCAAAAGGCTACTGATCACTCCAAAAGCTCTTAAATCTTGCAACTCTTGAAGACTCGCCGAGGTCTTTAAAGGAGTTCAAAGCTGCTAAAGGCCAATAAAGGTTTTAAAGTCTTTACATCAACCTAGAAGAACCCAGTTTGGTGTTGTTCTTGTTTGAACTCTCGTTATTAATTGTTTAATACACCGCAAGTTTAAAATTAATTGACCCAAGCAAGATATTCGCGCTCCCCCCTTCATTCACTATTTGAATCTCTTCCGGTAGAAATACCGCAACGATCTCAACTACCCTATCCTTTTAAACGAATAGTAAATTTTCTCGCGTGCTCGGAGAAAAACTGTTCCATGAGATCGTGGCAACCGTGTTCGCTTTCCGCAATACAGTTCGTAATATCGCTGACTAGCGCCAGACATATTTTCGTTCACGTTCCCTATGAAGCGGTGCATGTGTAAAGTTTCCTATACTCAACAAAATGCAATGAAATAATATGACATTTGGCGAAGGTCAATCAAAATTGTTTTTCTTTCCGATCAAAGACCTAAAAAATGATTTGAAAATGGAAGGGGTCTTAGCCTGTGCTCAACTCAAAACAACCGCCGCGCTGGCGCGATTTAGTCTTCATGAAAAATTCAAAATATAGTCATATTTTAAGGAAAAAAACGTTGTAACAACAAAATCGTTAAAGTTAAGGGTAATAATATGTTACGTACTCCTCAAGAGCTTTCCAATTCTTTAATAAAATACGGGTTGCTCCGTAAGTTTTAGCTTTGATACGCCACTGGAATACAGCATGCCACTATCAACCAGACACATTTTGGAAACAGGGCGAAGGTAAAACCTGCATAATTTTTTTTCTATGATTTTTCTGACATCATATACCTATTGTAATGAAATAATGGTTCGAGTGGTCTTAGATGCTATATTGCTTACGTAATTTCCAGGGTTTAATTAAATCAAATTAAAACCGTAGCTGCAATTAACTTAATTAAAGCACTTTACTCTCGCGAGATGGCACTCTCAAACAGTTCCCATTTAATTACCCAATTATAAAGGAATTCATTTCAGAGTTACACCCTAAATTAATTGCTTATTAAATTGCCATTGTGGAGTTAATTATTGCTTCTTTTATAATTTTTTTATTATATAGAAACTTTTTTTCACCTTAACCCAATTTTGATTTATTGGCTTACTAAATTCCAACAATTTAATTTGCTGGACGAAAATTTAGAATAGGTTGGTTCCTTTTGCTCTATCTTTCGTTTGGAAATTCAGCGAAACTTTAAAAATTCATAGATCTCGAACGGGTGACGCTGGTAGGATAGTGCTCTTTGGGTGACATTTCTTCCAATCTGTATAGCTAACCCTTTGGACCCGTTAGAATCGTTTGTAGGCCGTTTGGAAGTAACAGATCTTAAAAGTCCTTAAGATATTTACAGACCCTTAAATACACCAGAACCTTGTAATGGCCCTAAAGGCTTTGCAAGGCCCGGATAATAAATACTTTTAAATGTAATTAAATTTTTTTAATGACTCTGGAGAGATGTAAGGGCTGCTCTCTCTTGAAGACTGTTCCCAACTGTCACTATTCCTACATTCATTTTCACAGAGAAACGTCCAAAGGCTTTTCCTGGATGTCCCAGATATGAGATTCACGGATTTTTGATGTGCAGTTCTCACTCGATTCTGTTTTTTTTTCTTATTTTTGGATTTTTTGAGTTTTGGTCGATTATAGGGAACTGCTACCAAAAGTAATACAAATCTCATGACCAATACTACAGCATCAGCTTTCGAAAACGGGTCTCAAAGGGCCATTTTTTTTGGGCAAAATGCGATACCAGTGAGGGTTCCAAGTCACTCAGGAAGGGTTAGGGTTAGTGAGCAAAGGCGCCGACTTAGGGGTGGCCGAGCACTTTCAGCCCCTCCAATATTTATACTGGAGGGGCTCAGCTCCCCTAATTCTGAATAAGTGACAATTATATACCGTATTCGTATTCGTGGTTACTTACACCAAATCTTGAAACTGCATAATCAGCTTTAGACTCAACAATAAACCTCAATGCAAAATGCAATAACAAACCGTCCCAAGGTAGGAAACCGTTGACACTTCTAAGAAGCAATAATCTGACTCCTGATGTGACGTCATAGTTTTTCTTTCTGAGATAAAGGATAAAGATAGGTACCTGCACCTTACACCTACTAAAAATGCAAAAATTCGTACGTTCACTCAAAGTCAATAAAAGTTGTTATAAAAATGTTTTTTTTTACTTATACCCGTAACCCGATACCCTATGCAGGTACGTAAAAATGTTTGGGCCCCCCCAAAAATTTTGTCATGTCGGCGCCTATGTTAGTGAGCTAATTTTTCCAGAATAAATGAATTTGGTTTCTAATAATAACAGGAGGTTTATGTAACCCGTTTATTGCAAACACGGTGGCCTTCGAACTTTCGTATGATAAGGCGTAACTTTATATTCGTCACCAGTTGTGTCGTGACCGTGTTTCGCGATGGAATGTGTCGATATCGCTCCTTTTGAGTAACTTTTTCACTGTAGGGCTTGGTGAGTTATTTTTACCTTGACTTCTATCTAGTACCTAAGTTGGTGTACAGCACTGGCACTCAATAAAAAATTAAAGAACTTATCACTACATTCAGAAAAGGTTCAACACACTTTCCTTCCTCGAATTACTAATAATTTTTTAAAGAAAAAGGGGCTTTAATTGGGTAAAAGTTACTTTTGCCATATACAGGCAATTTTCCACTTTCCCCAATTTTGAAAATCTCCCAGAAGGCATTCCCAAAGCTTTTTAGTGCGTTTCAGGATCCATTATGTCCTTTCAAAGCTTTCCACTGTGCCATTCCCAAAACTAGAAGAGTCTAGAAAGCACTTACAAGTGTCTAGGGAGCCCTAGAAAGTAGGAGGCCTTGGGAAGAGTGCAAAACGGTCAAAGAGACAGAAAACGTTGGAATGAGTTCAAGAAACATTGGGGAAATTGCAAAAAAATCTGGTATGAGCTCAAAATGTTCATGAAGGTTCTAGAAAAGCTCTAGAGAGCGCTTTCTAAAGCTTTCGCGCATGTATTTTCGAGAGCTTTCGAATAATTTCTTTGTTCTTTACAAAGTTATATAAACCCAAAAGGCGCTTGATCGTCAACAATCCTAGATAGTAGTATGCGAGGCAAGTTCTAAAAACGCTTTGGAATGATCAACTGCGTTTCAATTGCACTTACACGACTCTGGAAAGTCTGAATCTTTTGTATCTTTTTGAGAAGACTTCCTGTTCCCTTTCCAAAGCTAGACAATCCTAAAAACCCTGAAAAGGCCAAGGGGACCGGGGAAAGATTCAAAAAGGTTGAAAGCTTGGAAATCACTACTCTCTGGAAGGGACCTACTAAGGCCTGGAATAAATTAAATAAGTCTAGAAAGGGTTCTTGAAAATCCTGCACAATTTCTAGAAGGAACTTAGGAGGCTCTGGGAAGGGTTTTAACCACTGGAAACGTGCACAGAAAATCTGCGGAAAACCCTACCGCTTTAACATTCATTCATAAGGATTTGGGAAGCCCCTAGAAGGTTTTTCAAAACTTTCTACCGCTTGCCCCTGGGCTTTCCCTTATTTTACAGACCGTGTTTTCCCTTTCCAATACTAGCTGAGGCGTTAAAATGGACTTAATAGTACCCGGAGAGCTCGGAAAAGTACATAGAGAGCACTACTCTCTGGAAGGGATCTACTACTAATGCCTGGAATAAATTAAAAAAGTTCAACACGCTTTTTTTCAGCCCAAAATCTTCTAGAAAAGGTTCTTGAAAATCCTGCACAATTTCTAGAAGTAATTTAGGAGGCTCTGGGAAGGGTTTAAACCACTGGAAAAATGCACAGAAAAGCTGTGGAAAACCCTACCGCTTTAACATTCATTCATAAGGTTTTGGGAATCCCCTAGAAGGTTTTTCAAAGCACTCTACTGCGTGCCCTCGGCTTTCCCTTATTTTACAGACCGCGTTTCCCCCTTCCCAATACTATCTGAGGCGCTAAAATGGACTTAATAGTGCCCGGAGAGCCCGAGGGAGAACCCGGGAAAGTTCATAGAGACCACTACCCTCTGAAAGGGATCTACCCTGTTTTTTACCAAAAATCGACTTCACCAAAATTTCTCGGGAAAACACTTTTTCTTATTAATTTTGGTGCGTAGAATCCAAAACGATTCGTACTTTTTCGATTAGACGTCTCAATCAAAAGTTATGGGCAAAAAACCAATTTCGGCAAAAAATTCAAAAGGCTGTAACTTTTGATCTAGTAGCTCGATCTTGGAACTGTTTGAAATTATGGATTCTATAGGCCACATTCTATAAGAAAATATTTTTTTCCGGTCGATCTGAGACAATTTTTTTTCGGGCCAAAAAAAATTCTGACAGCGCCGATCGATAGCGCTGGTCGAGACCTTTCCAACGAGGGCGGAAGGCATATCTACGACGCACCGTTCTCGAGATATTCCGGTTTGTCAGAATTTTTGGTCGAAATTTCAAACCGGAATATCTCGAGAACGGTGCGTCGTAGATATGCCTTCCGACCCCTCGTTGGAAAGGTCTCGACCAGGGCTATCGATTGGCGCTGTTAGAATTTCGACATAAAATTCAAAGGGCCGTAACTTTTGATCTAGTAGCCCGATCTTGGAACTGTTTGAAATTATGGATTCTACAGGCCACATTCTATAAGAAAATATTGTTTTCCGGGTCGATCTGAGACAATTTTTTTTCGGGGCTCAAAAAAAGGCAGTGTATAACCTTCCTTTTTTACCAAAAATCGACTGCACCAAAATTTCTCAGGAAAAAACTTTTTCTTATTAATTTTGGTGCGTAGAATCCAAAACGATTCGTACTTTTTCGAGTAGACGTCTCAATCAAAAGTTATGGGCAAAAAACCAATTTCGGCAAAAAATTCAAAAGGCTGTAACTGTTGATCTAGTAGCTCGATCTTGGAACTGTTTGAAATTATGGATTCTACAGGCCACATTCTATAAGAAAATATTGTTTTCCGGTCGATCTGAGACAATTTTTTTTTCGAGCCAAAAAAGGCCTGGAATAAACTAAAGGTTCAACACGGCACAGAATAAGTTTTTTTCTTCTAGAAAGGTTTCTTGAAAATCCTGCACAATTTCTAGAAGGAATTTAGGAGGCTCTGGGAAGGGTTTTAACCACTGAAAAAATGCACAGAAAAGCTTTGGAAAACCCTAGCGCTCTAAAATTCATTCATAAGGATTTGGGAAGCCCCTAGAAGGTTTTTCAAAACTTTCTACTGCTTGCCCCTCGGCTTTCCCTTATTTTACAGACCGTGTTTTCCCTTTCCAATACTAGCTGAGGCGCTAAAATGGACTTAATAGTACCCGGAGAGCTCGGAAAAGTACATAAAGAGCACTACTCTCTGGAGGGGATCTACTACTAATGCCTGAAATAAATTAAAAAAGTTCAACACGCTTTTTTTCAGCCCAAAATCTTCTAGAAAAGGTTCTTGAAAATCCTGCACATTTCCCAGAAGGAATTTAGGACGCTCTGGGAAGGGAATTCCTGCGCTACAGTATCTAAAAGATTATAGTGTATTTGTGTTTATGAGGTCAATAAACGTTATTATTATTATTATTATTTGACCACTGGAAAAATGCACGGAAAAGTTCTGGAAAATACAACCGCTTTTAAAATAAAGTAAAGGATGCAGAAGGCTTCCCAAATCTTTCTGTGCTTTTAGAGTCTTTTCAAGAGCCTTCCAAAACCGTTCGTGTCATTTCGAAAGCTATGGGAATCTAGAAACCGCTCAAAAAATTACTCTAAATGATATACAAGGCTATGGAAAGAGTTTATGAGTTTCAAAAGCGATTACAAAACGCGAAAGTTCTTCAAACGCACTGGAAACATCTTTAGAATTCATGAGACTCTGTAAATCCCCCAAAATGCTTTTCAGAACCCTCTGGTGCTTCCCAGTGCCTACTCTGGATACTTTCGAGAGCTTTCGGAGGGTCCTTTACATAGTTACTCGAGTCAAAAAAGCCCACGAGAGCTCTGGAAAGTGCATAGAGAGCGCTCAATGTCTCTGGAACGAATCTAGAGGACTCGAAAATCCGTATCTAAAAGTTTAATTGCATAGAAAACCCTCTATCACGCTCAAAATGCCCACAAAATTGAAACGCTCTAGAAATGCACCTGCCATGGAAAGCTTTAATTCTGTCCAGAGCCTAGAACGCTCTTGGGAGCAGTATCTAAAATGCTCACAGCATTTTTGGCAGCTCTTTAGAGTTTTTCATTCTCGTTTGCCCTTTCCAGAGCAAAAGAAATTTGATAAAAATTAACACAGTGATTTTTGCTTTCAGCACACCATGGGAACTCGAATCGAGTGCATCGTCACGGTCGCATCGATCCTCTTCTTCATCTTCACGATGCCGCTGGCGGTATTTGTCTGCATTAAAGTAAGTTGGTCGTGCATTAAAACGGACGAGCCTCATTGTCCAATTCGTAGGTCGTAGCCGAGTTCGAACGCGCGGTCATCTTTCGACTGGGAAGATTGAAGAAAGGTCGAGCGATCGGGCCCGGTACGTTCTTCGTGCTTCCATGCATTGACAGTTACACTTGCGTCGATCTCCGAACGGTCTCATTTGATATACCAGCTCAGGAGGTAACAACCCGTATGTTTTGTGTAAGGTTCCAAAGTCTTTTAGGCTCTCACGAAGGATGCGGTAACGATTATGGTGGATGCCGTGGTCTACTACAGAGTAGAAGATCCACTCAATGCGGTGGTAAAGGTTACAGATTTCCGGTAAGTGTCTTGGACTAGGGGGAAACAACTTTGAATTTTTGGTGTACACTCCTCTGAATTAATTTGAATTAACGCGAATTAATTTGAATTAACGTGAATTAATTTGAATTAACGTGAATTAATTTGAATTAACGTGAATTAATTTGAATTAACGTGAATTAATTCGAATTAACGTGAATTAATTCGCATTAGCGTGAATTAATTTGAGTTAACGTGAATTGATTCGAATTAACTGGTATTAATTTGAATTAACGTGAATTAAATTTGAATTAACGTGAATTAAATTTGAATTAACTTGAATTAATTTAAATTAACGTGAATTAATTTAAATTAACGTGAATTAATTTGAATTAATGTGAATTAATTTGAATTAATGTAAATTAACGTGAATTAATTTGAATTTGAATTTTTGGTGTGCACCAAAAATTGTACTCTGGATGTACGTTGATTTTAATTTGGCAGTCACTCGACGATGATGCTGGCGATGACCTCCCTGAGAAACATACTGGGCACGAAGAACCTTACCGACGTTCTATCGGAGCGCGAGTCCATTTCGGCGGCGATGCAGGAAGTACTCGATGAAGCCACCCATCCGTGGGGAGTTAAAGTCGAACGAGTCGAAATGTAAGCAACCCCTAACCGTTTGTCAGTGAAATAACGCGCATGCCCAATAGTAAAGACGTGAGTCTGCCGACTCAACTGCAGAGGGCGATGGCTGCCGAAGCGGAGGCGTCGCGCGAAGCCAGAGCCAAGGTTATTGCTGCGGAGGGCGAGATGAAGGCATCGCGTGCGCTTAAGGAGGCCGCGGACGTTATCTCAGAGTCGCCCGCGGCCCTACAACTGAGGTACCTGCAGACCCTCAACACGATTTCGGCCGAGAAGAACTCTACGATTGTGTTTCCACTGCCCATCGACCTTTTAACCGCTTTCGTTCCCAAGGCACGTTCTTAGATTGGCATCAAGCAGTGTGTTTACAGTACAAATTATGTTCTTACTTAAGTTGCCATTCAGGAATTAAATAAACTAAGACCTACGGTCTGTTTGCGGCAGATCCAATCAATTCTCAAACTTTTTTCAATTGGATCCCTTCAAACTCCTCGTGTTTCCTCCACTTCCTTTCAATTCACGTGAAACTTCCTTCATGTTCCTATCAAGTAATTTTCAATTTCCTTTCAAACTCCCTTAAAATCTCCCTCAATTCTCCTCGCGTCAAGTTTCTCTGCAGTAATTTTGCGATTTGTATAGAAACGTATAGAAATCCTTTTAGTGTCTTCCAAGGTCTCTTTTTCTTTCCAGAACTGGAAAGGCGAAAAAGCTTTCAAGAGTTCCCAGGGAGCCCTGGAGGGTACATGGAGAGTGCTTGAAGTCACTGGAGGGAATCTGGGGATTATAGGAAAGTGTTTAGAAAAATTGGAAAAGGTCAAAATCTTAAGAGAATTCTGGAAAATCTTTAGAAACTCTTTTTGTAAGACCTTGGAAAGTGTCGAATAGGCTTTTCTAAGGCTTTTAATCTTTTATCTGTTTTAGGGGATTTCGGCGGCATCTTCAAAGCTAGAGCACACACACACAACACAGATGTCATAGTGAGCACCTAACATCTCCGAAAGAGGGCCCTGGAAAGGTTTAGAAAACTCAAAATTGCATAGAAAAGCGACCAAAAGACCCTTCCAAGCCTTTGGGTTCTTTGAAGAGTCTCTTACGTCTTTTTCAAGGCGTTCAAGTACTTTCTGCGCGACTTTTCAAATCGAGTTAAGCTTGGAAATCGCTCTACAGCTCCTAGAAGGGCCTGGAACCGGGGATCAAGATACTCACGAAAATTCTAAGAAAGCTCTGAAAAACTCCAATAGTTTGGAGTTTCACTTGTAGGGTCCAAAACGCCTTTTCGCACTTTCCCGAAGTTTTAATTTTTTTAGAGCTTTCGAAAGCGTTATGTGCCCTTTCCAAGTTAGATGAACCTAAAAAGCGCTTGATAGTCCCTGGAAGGCTTTTGAATGTGGAAGTGAAGAAGGGCTGGGAAACTTTGAGAAAGCATAGTATGCTTACGAAGTTTCTATACCTAATAACTCTGGAAAATTCCAATTTCCTGAAAACCCCTACAAAATATTCCAAAGCTTTCTAGTGCTTTTCAGGATCTAATATGTTCCTTCAAAAACTTTCAACTGTACCATTCCCAGAACTAGGAGAGTCTAGAAAGCGCTTACAACTTCCTAATGAACCCTAGAAAGTACCCAGAGCAACTGTGGAAAAAATCTAGGGGGCCCTGTGAAGAGTGTAGAGAGTTCAAAAGGAAAGGAAGTAAAGAATACCTGGGCGAGGTTTAAAATTCTCGAAAATGCAATGGTATAAGCTCAAAATGATCACGGAAGTTCTAGAAAAGCTCTAGAAAGCTCATCTGCTTTTAAATTCCACCAATAACGCCCTGGAAAGGATTTAGAAGGATTTCTAGTAGCTTGGTAGCGTTTTCCAAACTCTCTTATTTTTTCGGGAACTTCCGAAGGCTTTCTTTGCCCTTTACATAGTTACATAAACCTAAAAAGCGCTTGATTGTGCATATAGTGCATCAAAAATCCTGGAAAGTAGTATAGGAGGCACTTTTTAAACGCTTTCCTAAGATTTTTAGTGTTTTATAGAGTCTGTTGCGTTTTTTTTGGGGTTTTAGAAAGATTTCTGTTCCCTTTCCAAAGATAGACAGTCCTAAAATCTCTGAAAAAGGCTAGGGCCCGGAGAAAGGTTCCAGAAGTACATATAAAGCGCTGTTATTGGCACAAAATCCTTACGGGTGTTCTAGCGCAACTTTGGAAAACTCTACCGCTTTAAAATGCCATTGATAAAGCTCTGGAGAGTACACAGACAGCACTACTCCCTGGAAGGGATGCAGTAAAGTTCTGAAATGAATTTCAAAAGTTCACGACGGGATGGAAAACCCTTCTGGCGGCTCAAAATCCTCACGAACGTTCTAGAAAATCCTTGAAAAACTGCACTGCATTAGAATAGAGGCTGTAGTAAGCACTTTCCAGCGCTTTTCATAACCTTTTACGTCTTTCAGAGAGCGTCCGTAGCCCTTTTGTACCATATCCAAAACTAGGCGAACCGGGAAAGGGCTCCACAATACCTAGATAATTCACCAATGTGTTACAGGGCACCTACAATTCCTGAAATGAGTTTAGGAGGGGACTCGAACACTGGAAAACGCTCAGAAACGCTCTGGATTTTCCAGAGTTTTAAAACTGCACCCTGCACAGAATCCAGAAGGTTTCCATATTTCTATTGCTTTTCAGAGTCAATTGTGTCTTTTCCAGGGGCCGTTTGCTTCCTTTCGAAAGCTGGAGGAATCTAGAAACCACTAAATAATGCCTAGAAGGGCGTCAAAAATGACTCTGGCAAGGGTTCAGGAATCTCAATTACAAAACGCTAGTATGAGCGAAAGCTCTGAAAACATCCTCTTTAGAAATCATGCGACTCGTTTGAGAGCCCTGGAAAGTGCATAGGGAAATGCCTACGAAAGTGAAAAGCTCTAGATAACCCAGTTGCCTTGGAAAGCTTTCATTCTGTCCAGAGTTTTTTTATCGCTAGAAGCACAAGAGAAGGGTTTTACGGATCGTGGGTCAGAATTAAGCAAGGGTTGGAACCGGTTCCGCACTATTTAAGTAGAATGATTGTTTAAGGGTTCCGGTACCGGTTTCGGTTCTGTGGCTTCAGTAATTTTCGGTTCCATTTTTTTACGGTTCCTACATACATAAATAAAATTATTATTAAAAAATGTAAATTATTGTTAATTATAGAAAATAAACAATAAACAAATTAAAATTCTTTTACTTAAACATATTTGTTAGGTTTAATTGAAACTTATTTTTAGCTTACCTACGCGTGATTTTTTTTTGCTGTGGTGTCCACTAATTCTCCGTCTCTTATGTCTGTCTGTACCGTCCCTTTCCCTGTCTCCCGTTCTGTCTCGTTTTCGTATACTCTCTCCCATCGTTTTCCGCATTCTCATGTCCTTCATGCCTTCTTCTTTCGTGTCATTCTGTCTTCTTCTTTATTGGCTTTCCGCTGTCTTCTCATGCCCTTCCGCACGGTGCTGTTCCTTCCTGCCTTCTACTAATCCCTCCCTCACTGCATTATGTCCTTAATGCCCTCTTTCTTCTTCCCAGCCCTGCCCTTTCCTGTTCTTCATGTTCGGCATCGCCCTTTTATACGTTCCCGTCCTTATTCCTGCCTTCCCCATCCTTCTCATGCACTCTCCTGCTACACCATGTTTTGTTCTTTAATATCATATTCCCTCTCTTGTGTGTTTTTTTAATATAACCTCCCTTGCCTGTTGTGTTTTCTTTCTCCTCTTCTCTCCCTTTTACTATCCTCCGTGTGCTCTCTCATACTGTTTTTCTTTCTCCTACCATATCTCACCAACCACCTTCTTTTGCCGAACTTCCCTCTGTTTTGCCCCTTCACGCTGTATTTTTTCTATTATCTTCTACTCTCTCCCACTCTTCCCTGCTCTTCAATTGTATAAATTACTTGGAACCTCCTCTATACTTACTGATTATTTAAAAATGGTATACCTAATAAACGAGTAAGGAGGAGGGAGGAGGTTTAGTCTTTTTTTCAATTTAATTCAACCTAATTTTCAGTATTTATCGACATCAACCTCAATCAACAAGTTACCTGTCCTCTCGTACCTTCTCACCCTTGCTCACACACTTCTCTTTGCTGCAGTCCCCGATACCGTTAATCCTCCCCATTAGACAAGAAGCTACTGCCCTTTCTGATTGCTCGTACCCCATCCATCTCGTTCTCACTCGTTGATGTTCTGCGATGTTTTAACTACCCCCTCCCTGCTATCCACTTCCCTCGTAGCTCCCTTCCCTGATCTCTCCTGTCCTCTCAGACTTTCTCCCGCTTTTCTGCTATCTTTTTCTTTATTTTACGTACTTGGTTTTTCCCCGCCCTATCACTCCCTTTCTTTTCTTATTCCACACTTTTCTGCCGCCCTCTGTACTTTCCAGATCTTTATTCTCTCCTACCCTGTCCCGCTTCTTGTCACCCTATATGTTGTCGCCATCTTGCGGCTCTCCTCTACTTATTCATTTCTTATCCTCCCCAGTTCAGTATTATCCTAACCATTTTTGCTATCTGCTGCACTCTAACGTTAGGTCCTGCCCCTTCCCTCTCCTACTCCCCTCCGTGCATTAATTCCATCTTTATTTTTTTCCTCTCATAACCGCTTTTTTGCGTCCTGTCAGCCCCTTTCATTCCTCTCTCATCTTTTTTCTCTCTTGATTGGACTCCTCCACCCTCCTTCTACGTGCGCCCCTTCTCTCTCCCGCCCCGTTACACTTTTTCTCATCTCTTGCGTTTCTTTGGCTTCTGATAGTCTCATGCCTTCTCCCTTCTTTTCCTGCCTCCCCTTTGTCATTATTTATGTTCTGTCTTTCTTTTAACCTTACATTGCCTACTTAATTAGAGAAGAGCATCTACTGAACAGAGTTCTCTTTCTTTTGCCTACACCCCCCTACAAATTTTCAGCTCTATCCCAACAAAGGCCGAAAAAACTACTCGTTTCTTCTGCCACCTCTTACCCGTTTACTACTCTACTTTCTTTTTCTCCTTGCTCTCTCGCTTGCATTCTGCTCTCCTGCCGTGTTCTGCACCCTCCTTTGCTTTCGTGCTATCTTCTAGCTTTTCCTACCCTTTCCTGTTCTTCCTCCTGCGGCCTCCCTCTTTTTCTTCTATTCCAAGTACTGTCCCGCTTTCCTTTACCCTTTACCACTCTTTTAGCGTAGGTATTTTTAACAAGTAAAAAAAGGGTCGTCACATTTTGTTGTCGTAAGAAGCCCCCCTCCCTCCTCCCCACATGAATTATTTCCTGAAATGCCGTTTTTGAAAGTAAAACAGGTGCATAATTTTTACATACGACAACCAATAGGTCTCAGAGTTGCATACGCATGTCTTTAGTAGTGCCAAGTAAAGCTTAAAAATTGGGGGAGGTGGGTGCACGTTTACCCTTCATGGTATTCTAATGAAAGGTCTCATGGAAATGAATTGGTTTCTACAAACTATGACATTCCTGC